AAGTTAAAACCAGAAATAATTAAAGCATAGGTTTCTCTCTGCAACAAAAAAAAGAATATACTTATATTTAGAAAAATACTGTAGCATGTCGGGGTCCCAGAGGTGGCCATGACACCCCTGGTGGCTCCGCAACCATGCCCTGCTCTGCCTCTAGGGTGCCTTGCCTTCTGTCTTTCCTGCCATGCCTTTATGTAATAATAGGATTAAAAGGCCCATGGGCCTTAGCATGGGCCCCAGTCCCGCTGAATTGCCAGTGGGGGTCCCTAGCACCCTACTGATCTCAGCTACCCTACTCCCAGGCACCTCACTGGGAATCACTACTCCTAACTTTCCAGCTCTGGGGTTATATCCCTGAGCTCCCAGAGCCCCCGTAGGGTTACCATATTTCCAGGATCAAAAAAGAGAACACCTGTGGGGGGAGGAGGAGAGCAGTATATGATTGTGGTGGTGGGGCAGCGATATGCTTGTGCCCTGCCTCTGCCCCTCACTCCTAAGCTCCTGCCCCCCCAGCCCTGCTGGTGCCCCTCACTCCCAAACCACAACCCCCTGCCCCCCTGCACTGCCAGTGTCCCTCATCCCAACCCATAACCCCCTGCCCCGCCAGTGCCCCTCATCCTGACCCACAGCCCTGCTGGTGCCCTTCATTCCTGGCCTGCAGCACACCCTGTCCTACAGCCCTGCCAGTGCCCCTCACTGCTGACCCAGAGCCCCCTGGCCTCTACAGCCCTGCTGCGCACACACTTACTTGCCAGGGCCCATGCACAGAGCACGTAACCCCAACAGCCAATCAGCTTGCCTGCTGCTCCCAGCCCCAAGCATCCAAGCTGCACATGCCTGGGAAAAGTAGAGGCAGAGCAAAAACATGGACATTTTCTATCATTTTAAAAACCTGCCCGGACACAAGGACAGGGGGCCAAAAACAAGGAAATGTCCAGGAAAACCTGAACGTATGGTAATCCTACCACTGGGGATCCAGACAGCACAGCAGTCTAACATTCTCTGGTAGCTCCCCTGGCCAGAAGCTCCTACCTCTGTGGCTTGCAGGGCTAAACTAACTTGCATGCCACCCAGGGCCCTGCCCCCTTCTGGTCAGGAGGCTATCCTAGGCTGTCTGCAGGCACCTGCTAATTGGCCTCATTGCCTAGCTGCTGCAGTGCCCTGCAACTGCTGCACCCTGCCTGGCCTGCAATGTGCCCCTCTGAGCTGCTTCTCTCTTAAAGAAACAGAGAGCCCCAAGCCCTCTGTTACAAATGTAAATACCAATATTTGTTTAATTATAAAGGCCCCAAATTACATGGACAGTTAATAGAATACAGTATAATGCATTGTGACATGTTCAAAGCTTGAGATGGCCTTGAAACTTGAGGATGATTTTCACAATTCTGTATATAATTCAAAAGCAGCACCAGTTGTCTCATTAATATTTGAGAAGGGCTCAGAAACATAGAATGTTTTAAAAATGTATTGGGCAGGCAAGTTCTTTGGGTAGATGTGATATCTTTTATTACACCAACTAAACAGTTGGAAAAAAAGTTCTTTGCAAGCTTTTGGGCACAAAAACCCTTCTTCAGGCATTGGGAGACTCCTGTTCTGTGATCTCCAAGGTAGAAAAGAAGCTAAAGCAGAAGAAGTCTTTTGTCTGTGAAAATGCAAATGAGTAGAAGTTTAGAAGACAATGGGTAGAGATAGAAAGGGAGGGGGAAGGGAGGGAAATGTGTGAAGGAATGGAGGTTACCTGGTGTGTCAGATGTCAGGTAGCTTGTAATGTGTCATAAACCCAATGTCTGTATTAAGTCCATGATTTTTTGTATCCAGTAGATTTATGAAGTGAAGTTCATAGGCTTGTCTACAAAAGGTGTTTCGTAAGTTCCCTTTGAGGGTTAGAACTGTGAGATCAGAGAGGGATTGAGTCTTGTGAGAAGTGTGCACCCACAGCTAATTGGATATTTTTGTCGTTGATGGATTTTCAGTGCGCGTTCATTCTGGTAACACAGTTGTTTGGTTTCTCCTACATATTCTCCATCAGGGCATTTGGTCCACTGGATGAGATATATTACATTTCTGGAGGTAGGTTCTGTTGTAGAATGTAGTTATTGTGGGCCTGGTGGATATGTGTTGGCAGACTTTACATTTCTTGTCCTGCCATTGTCTGGATCCATTTGGTGTTGTTTAGGTCACAGGAAGTTTGCTTCTGGTGATGAGGTTAGCAAGGTTCAGTGCTTGCTTAAAAGGCTAGGATGGGTGGCTCTAGAAAGATCTCTTAAGTCTTCTAGTATAGGTTGCAATTGTTTGAGGATTTTTGTATAGGTTCCTGGAAATCCACCCCTCCCACACCCCTGCTCAACAGGAGGTCGCCCAGACACTGTACCAGCAGACTATTTTTATGTCCCCTTCCTATAAATGTCAATTATTAATGATGGAAATATTATTTTTGTCAGTCTGTGGGTGTGCCATGAGATTGGTGTTTATCAATGTTAACCGATAAAAACTGAATCCTGCCAAGCCTATTTATGATCCAGGCCTCCCACTTTCTGGGCAAGTGTGCTAATCACTAGGCTAATTATATAAAGTTATGCAAGAGGCAAGGATTCAGAAGATACCTTTTATTGGAGCAATGGTGTAGTTGGGATGGAGTTAGACAAGCTTTTGAGTGCAAGACATTTTTCATCAGGTCTGACCAGAACAAGCCAGGCACAGCATAGTAAAGAACAGTTGCGGCAGGGAGCAAGAAAAATTCCCAGGGGCAGCAGAGACACAATTAACAGAAAAAATGGTTTGGCGCAGTAGTATGCCCTTTCAGGTACAAGTAAAGTCACATGCAGCCTTGCCTTGGAAATGCTATGGCGCTAGGCACTCTGAAAAAATCAAGTCTTGGCATCTCAGATCAGGCACCCAAACATAGTAGACATTTTTTTAATTACAGATGGCTCTAAAGCAGATCTTGAACTAGGCCAGGTCAGATCCAGCATGCAGGCCTCTGCCACAAAGGAACTGACAACAAAGGAACTGACTGTAATAGTAGGTTGTCACTCATGTCAGTAGTTCTCAACAACTGGGATATAGAAGTGTCACAGGTAGGCCACAAGGGTGGGTACAGGAAAACCATCCAACTCCCCTCCCTAAGATTTGTACACTGGCAGACAGCAATGTGCTGAGCTGCCCAACTGCTCACTATTCACTAGTTCTCAATAAGGAAGAAGCACAGCCACTTCACTTAGTGCACTGCTACAGAAGTGCACATGCAGTACTGCACAAACACAGCTACACTGCTTCCAGTCTAGAGGTAGCACATACAGTGCTAACTCAGGTGTCTCTGCAGCATAGCTAGCAAGAGCACCAAAAGGCAGGCAGGCTGTGGGATTGTAGAGAAAGCCAGAGGATCAAACAGGTTGAGAATCACTGCTATATGTGCTCAGTACTGGAAAAATACATTTTTTTTTTTACACCAGTGATACTCGCTTGCAGCAAATGACAAGACTTGGACACCTTGTTTTTCATTCTACACTCTGAAGAGGAGCATACATAGCTGGTCAACACAGACTTCTCTTCATGCTCCCCTAAAGGTGAACCCTTCTTCTCCCTCCCCTCCACTGCATATCTCAGTTCTGCCTCTACCCAACCTCTTGCTCCTTATCCTAGTCCAAAGATGTTCACTTAGCCAGTCCTAGTCTCCACTCCTCAAACTTCTTATTCCATTCCCAGTCTCCCTGTTCAGCAAGTCCTAGTTATTTTGCCCTCCCTCCTCTGCTTCCATTCTGATCCTCTTGCCCAGCTATTCCCAGTTCCTCTTCATACCCCAACTCTTTGTTCTCAGTCATTTGCAATTATACTTTTGTAACCTGGTTCATTCTTCTAAAAAAAACAAACAAGAGTTACATGCTTTAACTAGCTCACCACCCCCCTCCCACCCCCAAATCAGCCTCAGGCAGATTGGTTAAAAAAGTAAAATTTGACAAACTTATAAGCAAATGGTGATAAAATGGACAATCTCTCTGACAGTCAGTGCTACCATCTCCACACATGCACACATTTTCAATGGAACATGTCAGTGTAAATAAAGTCAGGATCAAGAGCCTTGATTTACATTTGTTTGTGCTGTAGTCACAAATCCAGTTACTTCCACTGAAATATACTTTTATCAGTCTTTTTACAGTTCTTCTAAACAACAGGATCATGTCCCAAAAACTTACTTCCCAAATTAAACAGTTGTTTTTCTTCACCCATTTTCAGCATTAACCATACCACTTAAAGTCTTCTGTCCATCTGCTTTAAAAGCATAGTTTTTGATGGTGGTTTCCAGAACACTCAATTATTTAAACTTCAGGGTTTTTTCCTCAAAGAAGTATTCAACTTCGTAGAAATGGAAAGACACTTTGTCATTAAACATCCATAGTGACAACAGAAAACAAAAAATGTGTTAAGGTAAAAGATGCCAAAAAAAAAAAAAAAAATCATGTTTCTATTCAATTAAAGGCACAATTTTATAATATTATATTTCTTTCACCCCAGTTTGTAAACCTGTATCTATATACAGAAAGGCAGGTAAAACCAGCATTTGTGCAAAACTTATTCAGGACAGAGGGGCAACAGTCGATTTACCAGGATATGCTCTTGCATTTTAACTGCTAAAAACCTACCACTAAGACAAATCTATATTTTACTTGGACAAATGTTTCATTAAAGCAGAGTAGAGTTTTGCCCAATAAAGACCAAGTCAAAAGAAAAAAAATAAAAAAAAAAAATAATCAGAATTTGGCCTTACTAACAACAGGAAATCAGTACACATTTACACAAAATACCAGCTTTGTGTGTGTTTTTATGCACATCTAAACAAATCTTGTATTACTTTTTTGCAAGGGGATGAAAAGATTCACCAAATTACACTACCATCAAAACAGTAGACAGACAAGCTTTAATCACAGTATCTCTAATAGTTTATTTTAAAAAGCATAAAGTTTTTCATTAATAAGAACTACATTAAAAGAGTTGAAAAAGCTAACCTTTTCAATATTTATTTGGTGCTTTCTCAGCCTTTCCAGATCTGTTGGAACCGCCACTTTAATGAATTTTTGGAGGGCAGGTTCAAGACGACGAAGAGTAACTTTTTCATCATCTTCAGACATTCTAAAAATAAGTCTCAAGTCAGTAGTTGCCCAATATACCTTTTCTCATTTAGAAAACCCTAAAAAAGAAGGATTTTTGTTTTAGGCAAAATATGTAAATCTCATTCAATCAGATTACATTTTAATTAAACTAACCTTTAAAAACCAAAACAGTAAGAGAAGTGCTCATCCTTCCCATAATGCCCCACATGAAAAACTTAAAAACTGACATGAATTAATGATTCAAAATCTGAATACTTTATCTGCTGAAATGAATGGTGAGGTTCACATACAAACTGGGCACGTCTACACATGCAATTAATGTGCATGAATAAACTGTGGAGCAAATTGTTCCACAGCAAACTATTCCCAGGCACAGCATCTACACATGTGCCCAGGTCAAGAGCAAATTGAGCAAGGGAATAGTGAGGAGAAATCCACCAAGAAAGTAAAATACATTTCTGCTCTGGATGACGTGAGGCAGTATCCTGCAGTGACCGTGGACGCAGATGGAGGCAAACTGTTCTGTACCGCCTGCAACATGACTCTGGATGCGTTGAGGAAAATCAGAATAGAGCAACTCATAGATTCCAAGGAGCCCATGAAGCAAAATGCTGCTGCAGAGGCTGACGGTCAGAAATAGAAACAAGCAACCTTGTCCTCACTTCTTAAAAGGATCATGGAAAACAGTCTGGCAAGGTGAGCAGCAACACTTTCCTTTGTGGAGGTTTTTGCAGTGGCAAACATCCCACTGGAGAAAATGGATTGTTGGATGTTTCCCATATGTGAACAAGCTTCACCAACCCCATCTCCATTCAGTGATGATTACTTTGCACATCCACAAAGTCTGCATTGGCAATGTATGAATCCATCTCTGTTGTGGCCAATGAAGCCACTGACCTTCAAGATAATTATATGTCTTGCACATTTTATTTGTACCTGGGAGCTGAACAGACCAGGACTTGCCTGTTTTTCAAACAGAGCTGGTCCACCTCACGTCTGTCAATTTTTCTACTATGCCTCAGGCTGTAGTGAAGGCCAATGTCAACTACGGTTCAGAATTTAACAAGAACTCAGCATTTCTGTCCAACAATGCCATGTATATGTGCAAGCTTTCTGATGTGCTCTGTGGAATGATGCCCAATGCAGTTCATGTCACCTGCAATTAGAGGTGTGCCGACACATCAGTCCGATATTGGATCAGCACCGATATAAAGAAAATTGTCTATATCAGAAATCAGCCTGATGTGGCTAATGATTTGACCGATAAATGGCCAGTGCAGCAGGTAGGCGGTGAGCACAGACGGCAGCGTGGAGAGCTGCATGCAGCTGTAAGTCAGTAGTGGTGGAAGGGGAGGGGTGTGGTGGGGGACAGATCAAGGCCCCCAGTGAGGAAGGTGCAGGGTTGGGGCAGGCGCTACCCAGCTAGGGGAAGGGGAATGGGCTTGTCCAGAGGGCGTGGCTCCTGCCACTTTGTGCAGCTCATTCAATGGCTCGTCCTGTCATCGGACAGCTCCTGCCGCTGCTCCCACCGGAGGGCGGGGGGTGTCCCCAGATCTGCACAGGGTGGGCGGCAGTGGTGCTGGGAGGGTGCTATGGGGCGACTACAGCAATTTTTTGGGGTGGCTGCAGCCCTCCCCCATAGCCCCCTCCCAGCACCGCCGCCTGCCTGGCACCGCCCCCGCCCCCGTCCACAGATGCAGGCTGCCTCCCGCCAGGGTGCGTGCAGTGGAAGGAGCTGCCCCCCACCTCCTTGCACCCCCCGGATGAGCCACGGCTCCATCCCACACCCTGCCCTGCTCTCGCTGGGCAGCGCCTGCCCCAGTCCCACTCCCTCCCTCACCACGAGGGGCATTGATCTGCCCCCCACCCCCCTACCCCACTCCTCTCCCCTCCCTTCTCCCCCTCCACCACAACAGACTTACCAGCTGCATGCTGCTGTATTGGAAATCAGATCGGTATCAGCCGATATGTCTCCTCAAAAATTGGCTATCTGGATCGGCCCCAAAAATCTCTATCAGTGCACCCCTACCTGCAATGTGCAAATTCTGTCTTGAATAAGTGACATCTGGTGTATGCAGTTTCCTGATGTGGATAGCCTGGTTTCATCCAAAAAAGCATTCAAGCACTGTTCAGGCTGTAAGCTCCGGTACAGGGAGTCTCACACCAGTCAAAGTGGGTACCCACAAGCAACCCACCAGAACCTGTGCTTACGAGGCAGAATTTGTGGGTCAACACAAATCTGTTACCACACCAAGAACATGCAGTATTATCAGCAATTTGTGTCCAAGGAGCTGGAAATCACACCTGGCGCACACAGCATAGTTTAAGCTTGCAATCTCCTAGAACAGGGAGGCATTCGAGATCAAATGAAGTTTGTGACAGAAAATGCCACTTGGTTCACAGAGCTTCTAATGTGGTTTGAAGGCCAGCAGGCTGTGATCCACCATACACACAGCTGATGGATTTGATAAGTTGGGCTGAAGACATAGCATCACAAGAACTGTCAAGCTGTCATCATGAAAACCAGCAGAGAAGGGACCTATTCCAAGCAATAGCTGTGAAGTTGAACTAGTATTACACGTACAACCCATCACTACTACCACCATGATTCGAACAACTGTCTGCTTCCTTCCTTAGTGCTGTTCATATTTTTTACTCCAAATCAGGTGCCTTTGCTGAGTCTTGATCCTCAGCTACTGAAATCAATCTCTGGACAGCAGAAAGAGCATGACAAGGAACAAGCTGCTTAAATGAACTCTGTCAAAGAGTGCCAGATGCCTGTGACTGTGTTTCGGGAGTCTGTTTCTGATCTGTTTCCACATCTGTACACCCTGACAAAATGCCACCTTAGCATTCCAACCAACTCAGTGGTATTGAGCATGTAATCTCAGTGTAGGGACAAGTGTTCACCCCCCCGAGACAGAGGATGTCAGTGGCAACTGTCAGTGGATGCTGCCTGCTAGCATTTAACACAGGGGTGGGCAAAATACAGCTCACAGGCTGGATCCAGCTTGCAAGGACTCAAAAACTAATTGTATCCTGCCCAGCCCAAGTGCGTCGCTCCCACTCTCATGGGCAGAACGGCCCAGCCAGCACACAGCTGCACCAACCGGGTTAGGGATGGGACTTCTGGTCCCAAGATGGGGCACCTGTCAAGGGGCAGGGCTACCCTTGCAGACCTCAACAGCTCCTCAAAACTCATTAAGCACCCCTCTAACTGAAATAATTACCCACCCTTGGTTTAACAGCTAACATGAACTGCCTCTCTCATGGTTAGCACTGAGTACTGCTAAACTCCTTTTTACAACTTTGACAATAAATTATGGTGATGGTATTAATTACAATTCGTGGTATATATAGGTTTAATTTCATAATATAGTTGAGTTTAGAGTCTTAATTGAACAGATCAGGGTCAGTAACATGCCAAAAAACACCTGCAAACTTGCCAAGACATTGGCATGCCAGGGGCAAACGGAAGGGGAGCTGTGAGGGGCCCTACCCTTGTTGTGGCAGCGCAGTCCTAGCCCCTTCCTTGCTGTCCACTTTGAGGCGCGCGTGCCAAGCAAAAAGCCTTCATGTGCCATACTGGCAACTGTGCCAGGGTTTGCCTATCCCTGGCTTATATTACTTAATAATGCATCCATTAATGGATTCCACAGGCTTATCTGGGCGACTGTGCCGCAGTTTCAGTCCTTCAGTCAATAGTAGCAGCCAATCAGCAGTGACGGTGGACCCTGCCACAAAAAGGCCACAAAAATGGCAGCCATCATTACAATACAGCCGCTAATTTTGGACTCTTCAATTGCGATGTAGGTAGACCCCCTATAGATACCCGATTAAAAAGTCACATCCTTTTTGGAGATAAGGAGATTTGAACATATTCCTTGACTGAAACTTGTGATTATGTGCTTTCTAAATCACAGCCCAAATTTTCTAAGCATCTTAAAGTTGTAAGATAGATACACTGAAAAAAAGCACAAAGCAAATTGATGTTGGCAGTTTCCAGTTGTACCTCCTTGCAAAATATGACTCATTCCCCCATCTTACCAAAACTAAGCATGCCATCGACCAACTAGCTTCAACTCTGTTCTCAGTATCTGCATTTAAACTGTATCTGGGGCTTTTTTCTGTTCCTTTAAAAGTAGGAATATAGAAGTATATGCAACAATAGAAAAATCTCACTAATTAATGAAAAAATTCCATTGTACTGAACATGCATAAGACACACAAAAAAAAACTCATGCAGAGATTTTTTTAAAGCCTCAAAGGTCCTTTTATTCATGTAGTTTTAGTACTGTATAAACATGTTTTATTTAAATATTAGTATTTGCTGTGTGTGTGGTTGTTTTTGTTTGTTTGTTTGTTTTAAAGAAAACCTAGTGCTGAAAAGTTTGCCTACTGCAGGCCTATACTAAAAGACATGCAACTGAAAGGACCAGCACTGACACACACACACATCAATATGAAAGAGTATGTATCAATAAATATACAGAGTATATACCATTACAACTTCATGTGGAGACTTTTGCTGGTTTTGCTACATTGGTGGTATTAAACAAGCAAATCCCTTCCAGGAGAGATTAGGCCTAGGACTAAAACTTTTTTGTGGATAGATTATTCATTCTTTTTGTACTATGTTAAGCATACAGTTAACATTCAAATAATAATGCATTATGCCTAATGACAGCATGTCAGAACATGGGAAGAGAGTTGTTAAAAATAGCTTAAAAACTGAATACAGGATGATTACACCAGATTTCAACTGGCTCATTTGAAAAAGTGGCTGCTGTCCCTGGACTGCAGGGATAAGATGCAAGAATTTCCCCTTGCCTCCAGCAAGGGAGAGAGAAAAATCTAATGGACTGTCATCTTTTCCCCAGGCCAGCAAGGAGGCTGAAGGTACAGTTTCAAACTGGGAAAACAGAGGTTTCCAGAGGTGAAAATAATTCCAGATGAGTGACATATTTCAATCGTCATCTTCTGTCTTATGAATGTTGGGTTACAAGTAATTTTCTTTTCATGATGAAACTAGTATAGAAAAATGTCCCCCCCCCAAACAAAAACAAACTAAGAAATT